AAACAACCTTCCTTCCATTCCTGCGCTTTCTCCATAAGACAACATGATATTTCTCTAGCACGTCTCGGCGCATCCAGCCACCTACTGGTGTCGTGATCTCTCTATGCTTTTTTCCTGGTCTGTTAATCAAGAACATAACTATCTCACACGGTGGTGAGCGAAAGACAAAGAACATACTCGATACTAGGGTAAAACTATTGGAATATAAACCAGCGACTCAGCGAAGGAAAAAAGAGACAAAAACTAAAAAAAAAAAAAGCCGGTTCCTCCCGGGGACCCAGGAGACGGACCTCATTCACAAATAGTGTCTACCAAAGGGGGGAACACGATAACAAAAAAATGACAACCCCCGCGGTTTCGGGGGGGGGGGAGTGGTTTTTTTTGGGAATTTTTTTCCACAAAATTTTTCGGGGTCCCTTTTTTCTTTAAAAAAAATTTTGGGGCTTTTTTTTCGTTTTTTTTTTTTTTGGGGGGGGGGGGGGGGGGGGGGGGGCGCAGCTGCTATCTCGCAGTTGTTCGGGGTGCTTAGCTCGTAATTCTTCTTTCTCTTGGTTTCTCCCACTGGTGCACGGGAGCTTTGGCCACATTTTTTGCCAAAATTAGAACATTCTTCCTACATGTTCTTTTTTATGACCCTTCGATGTCACTGTAGTCATGTTTCAAGATACTGTTGTCATGAACAAACAGCAAAAATACTAAAATCTACTAGTGCTTGCCTTAAGTGGGGCATTTGATCTGCCTCACAGAAGTTAGAGGTTTGAATCCGAGGTGGATCCGAATGATCTCATCCTTCCTGGAATACTTGTACAGTTGGGTCTTCTACTTTTTCAATAATCATGAGTTGTTTTCAAGATTTCCTTCCTTGCTGTCAGATATTTTTTAACGTTCGTGACTGGGTTTGGGTTGTATCTTTATTTGCTTGATGTTGGGTTTTTTTTATCAACTAGAATGCCTTTCACGTTCATGCAGCCGAACGCTGTTTTCACGGGCACTCTTAAGTATTGACACTGAACATCTGGGTTTTGTTAACATTGGTGTTTGGCGGGGCTCCGGTGTGGCTTGCTCTTTCTATCCTATCAAACATCTATTGGCTTTATCTCTACTTTTTTGTGTTTGTTACTCTCGGGGGGGAGGGGGTGAGGGGTTGGTGGGTGCTCAGGTGTGGTTTGCTTCTTCTTTCCTAATCAAATATTCTATCGTCCTTATCTTCCCTTCTTCTTTTTTATATTTGTTTCTCTTTTGTAATAGCAGGCTCCGAAAAGGACCTTCAATTGCTTCTAGATACTGTTGTTACTGTTGTAACAGAAAGTGAACGTAAAGGATTATTGTTGAATGTAAAGAAAACAGAATGCAAGGTAATATCCCCAAAAAAGCAGCAAATCCTAGTTGTAATCTCATTAGCAAAGGTGAAAAGATCAAACAAGTCCAACAGTTTAAATATCTAGGATATATGATAACATCTTATGCCAAATGTTCACAGAAATAAAAAGGAGAACTGCAATGGCTAAGGCTAGCTTCAATAAAATGAGCCCAATCCTGAAAAATAGAAACATCTCAATGAACACCAAAATGAAAGTCCTGAAATGCTGTTTGGTCAACCCTTATATTTTATGGCTGTGAATGCTGGACAATCACTAAAGACAGTGAAAATAAAATAGAAGCAACAGAAATGTGGTTTCTTAGGAAACTGCTAAGAGTTTCGTGGAAGGAAAAGAAATCAAATGAGGTAGTGCTTGGTGAAGCCCACGTTGGACGCTCAATGTTTAAAAACAATCAGGAAACGACAAATGCAGTTTTTGGGACACCTGAATAGACATAAGGGTCTTGAACATCTAGCTCTCACTGGCAAAATTGAGGGCAAGCGATGCAAGGGTAGGCCCAGGACAACATACTTAAGGAACCTAAACAATTGGATAACAGGAAGAGATCAGGGAAACGTAGCTTTTTGAAAGCATCCGAGCAAAGGAATGAATGGAAAACCATGATCGCCGATGTTTGTCACAGATTTGGCACTGGGTGATG